AATTTTAATTTTAATTTTAATTTTAATTTTAATTTTAATTTTAATTTTAATTTTAATTTTAATTAATTAATTCATTTATCAAATGAGGCCCATCTCGCCGCTCGTGGTGACTCTTGAGTGGCATTTGCCACACGATAAAATGCACAAACCTTCAACAGTTACGAAGACTCGATTGAAAATTGCAAAAATGAAAGCCAATGAAGAAAATGAGGGTTTGGAGGGGAGAGGTAGGACTAACTTCTGTGTTATAGGCACGCCTCGAGTTACGGCCATTCATTTAGTAACCATCTAAAGTTTTTTTTTTAATTATTTATTTACACTGATTGGCACAATGGGCAGAGTTACAACTGGCACAAGTTAACAACGGCACTGGGGAAAAAAGTGGCCCCCCATGACCAGTTTTCACACTTAACGGCCGTTGTAGCATTCCCCACGGTCATGTGATCAAAATTTGGCTCGCATTTATGACGGTTTCCTGGCATGACGTGGTTCACCATTTATAATCCTCCCAGCTGACAAGCAAAGTCAGTGGGGGAAGGCAGATCCACTTAGCAACGGCAAAAAACGGTGGTTAGGTGAGTTTTGCTCCATTGTGCGACCTTCATTCGCCATCCTTCAGCAAATGGCTACAGTCATTAAGCGAACCATGCGGTTGTTGGGCGAATCTGCCTTTCCCCATTGACCCCACGGCTCTGTGTTCAATCATATGCATAGCCGTGACCCGTGTGAAAAGTAGAACTTGAATGCATAGTGGATAGCCGCCATCTTGACTTTTTTGACCTCCAGAGGCAAGCTAATCTTTTCTTCTTCTCCAGTTTCCACAGCCAACGAGTACGCCTTGAAAGGTTTGGGCAAGCTGGAAGAGAAACTGCCAATTCTCCAACAGCCGACTGATAAGGTAATCCAAATTATTATTATTATTTATTATTATTTATTAAATTTATATGCTGCCCAATCCCGAAGGACTCCGGGTGGCAAATCTTCCTTCCTTCACTCAAATTAAAGATCTGAAAACCAAAAATTTATCCAGTCAACACATTGATTCCTACTTCAAATGACAATTTCTGCCTGCAGCATTAGTGCAATAGCTGAATTTGGAAAACACTATGTTTTATAGAGAACTTGTAGGCTTAGATTGACTAGGGAATTTTTTCTTTCTTTTTGTTTTATAAATTTTTATTTTTATTACACAGACAACATATACATACAACAATAAAAAAGACAAAAAAAGCATCATCACATAGAGCATGTCGTTTGGTTACAAGTGTTTTAACATCCATATTCTCGAATAACATTTACCATCACAGATTTTTCATCTAGTATAACTAAATACCTCGCTTTCATTGTACAGTATATGTTCAATTACGATTAGTATTATTTTTTCCCCCTATAAATCATAGTTCCCTTACATTCCTGATTATCTGTTTGATAACAGTATACCTTTATATAATCCCAATATGAAAGAAAAGATTTTTTTTACCAACCATTTATNGAGAATAGCCTGACTCCCTCTTCTTTGTGGCAACCCCTGAGATATCGGAAGACTGTTATCATGTCTCTCTTAGTCCTTCTTTTCATTAAACTAGATATTTCCAGTTCCTGCAACCGTTCTTCATATGTTTTAGTCTCCATTCCCCTGATCCTCTTGGTTGCTCTTCTCTGCACTCTTTCTAGATCTTCTCTGATCTCTTTCATTTAAGAGTGAGGTGGTCTTGAGCTTCTAGATTCAAGGGGGGGATGTTTGGTGAGACACCATCTCTTAAAGATGACCCAAAATGTGTTTGACCCCAAAAAGGATCCAAGTGAAGTTGATATACGCAATAGCCATAATGCTTAAACTTATATACGGCTCCACAGTGCTTTACGCTGCCCTCTAACCTCTGTGCCACTGTGGCTCATAGTTGAGGTTTGTTGCCAAACACGTTTGAAGCTGAGCCAAGTTTGCGTAGAGTTTGCCCGGAGTTGAGATGACAAACCCTGGATCTATTTTGAGAGAGAGAGCGATGGCTGTTACATTCTCACTTTTGTAAAGGAGGTTGCACAACCTTCGGAAAATGAATTCTCTGGAACGAGAGTCATCCCCTTGAGGTCAAGGACAAGATGCCAACCGTTTCGGTTTTGAGCTCAGTAGGCAAGATGCCATGGGGAGGGCATCAGGATCGAGGCCACTGGGTGCCAGCTCATAATCTCTTGTTGCAGTGACTCCTGCAGGTGTAAGCACAAAAACGCACACAACAATTTATTTTCCTGCTTGCCTCTCGTACATAATCAGGTTGTGGTACCCGTAGCTGCTCAATTTGTTCCACCGTTTTTAATCTGGTTATGCCATTTATATGCCGCTCGATAACCCCCCAAAAAAGGCATTTGATTGACTTGTGCTGATAACAGAAACAGGGAGAATTTAAAGAAAATACAGCTAGCCCTTGACTTTTGACCACAATTAAGCCCAAACTTTTATGTTACTGAGTAAGAAATGGGGTTCAGTGAGTTTTGCCTCATTTTACGACCTTTCTTGCCACCGTTGTTAAGTGAATCGCTGCAGTTGATAAATTAGTAACCTTGTTTTTAAGTGAATCCAGCTTCCCCATTGACTTTGCTTGTCAGATGGTCGCAAAAGGGGGATCACGGGACCCTGGGACACAGGAAAGGTCATCAGTCAAGGACTACCTGTAGTGATTGTCCTCAGCTTATGACTGGTTAATTAATGACAGTTCAAAATTAGGATGGACTTCCCTTCCCCGTCTGGAGGAATTCTACCCACCCCACAAAAGTTAGTCCATCAAAAGGTTACAGACTGTATATTCCGGCTGCAACAAATAACTTTCATTAGCAACAGCAATCCTCAGCTCTGGAGCCGCATGTGGCTCTTTCATCCCCCTGCTGCGGCTCCCTATTGCCAGTCTGCACCACAATTTTGAGAGGAGCTTCCAGTTGTGGGGGAGAGAGCAGGGTGCACCAGGAGAAGACTCTGTGGCAAGGGGCAGGTTTTCCAGTCAGCTCCACAATTGATACTGTGTTTCCCCGAAAATAAGACAGGGTCTTATTTTCTTTTTACCCACAAAATATGGCTTGGGCCTTATTATCAGGGGAGAGTTTATTGTTTTGGGGTTGCCGGGCGGCTGCTCTCTTGCGAGCGGGCTCTTAAAGAGCCGGACACAGCCTCATGGGCGAAGGACTGTGTTGCACTGTCGCAGCGGCGCAACACAACAGCCATGAAGCGACCACGCTCACGAGCAGCCACCCGGCAACCCCAAAACAATAAGCCCTCCCCTGATAATAAGGCCCAAGCCATATTTTGTGGGTAAAAAGAAAATAAGACCCTGTCTTATTTTCGGGGAAACACGGTACCTAGTTTGGGTAATGAAACATCTGCCATGAGGCTGTGCCCGGCTCTTTGAAAGCCTGCTTGCAAGAGAGCAGCCGCCCAGCAACCCCAAAACAATAAGCCTCCCCTGATAATAAGGCCCAAGCCATATTTTGTGTGTAAAAAGAAAATAAGACCCTGTCTTATTTTCGGGGAAACACTGTATGTGTGTGTGTGTGTATGTATGTATGTATGT